TATTTTCCAAACAACACGGTAATAACGACGGCCCGCTAGCATGCGCTACCAAAAATAGTGCTTTGTTGTGTATCTGACGGACGAAAGCTAAACCAGTTCCACACCAGTGAAGCTGCAGCATTTTTACAAACCAGTTCTGGTTCATGTTTCATTCAACGATCCGCTTTCTCCGCCATGTGCGTATGAAAACAAAGGCACTGCGCATGCGCGTTTTACCCATATTCTATCGCCATATTTCATTTTCTTATCGTTGCCCAACATTATACCGTGAACGGTATGATATGACCCAGCCCTACACCAGGTGAGGTCATATTCCACCTGTTCTCCATTTACAGTGAGAGTTGAGTGGACCTGTCTGTGCCTGCTGACACCCATTATGAGACGTTCAGCTTCAGGTTATTCTCTTTGCAGCAGCGGGACAAGTTCTCTACCTCCACCCTGTACGCCGTCTCATCTCAGAGGGGGCAGAGAACGCAGCTCTGCAGGGGTCCGGGAGGTGCGGGCCGAGTCGGGCTGATTGAGGCCGGTTTGTTTGGAAGATCCAGGAGCAGATGGTGGTGGTGGTGGCATCCTCCATGGAGGACTACCCGTTATCCCCCTCAAGGGAGGGGGGTAGACGGGTAGTCTATTCTGTGTAAAAGTCATTAGACAACCAATCAGAACAACCAATAAAGCCAATAAACAATAAATGTCATAAGATGCAAATATCAATAAACACATAAGAATTGAAATATGTGAGTAAAATCAGAATTTAGGGGCAAAGCTCATAACTTACTTTTTATTAACAACTTCTGATTTTTTTAAAAAAGCAAACGGCAAAATAATTTTACAGACTGAAGTGGAAAACAAAGTTTCTCCCCAACATCACAGCTGATACAAAAACACACTTTTCACAGAGACAAACGGTCATCGCCGCAGACGACTGAGCGACTCCTGCGTCCACAGTTCAGCAGGAACAGATGTTTGGTTTTTACTTTTCATCTAAATTTAACGGCCCGTAATCACACACTGCTGCGCGAAAGCTGCGCACATACTCCAGTGTAAAGCTCAAAGCCTGCATTACATGGATTTTATTTATGTGACGCACTTTTCATCTGTAACAGCTGCTGCTCGCTGGATTTAAAATGAGACAATGCTCGCTGTCAGACCCGTCTTATCTGCTCGGGATTTGCTGTAGGTCCACTTTATGAGAGCAGCTGCATTATGTAAGAAAACACAAAACACTGAATATGACTCAGGATCAGCAGCCCTCCAAAATAAAAGTCCAGCCTCAAACCTCACTGAGAAAAAGATGAAAGTGGAGCTGATTTCTGTGAAAGCGAGCGAGCGCTGCAGGCTGATGGGAGCGGGCAGCACACAGGGAGAGTTTTCCTGCAGCTGATCCGGGCGATTCATGGAGCATTTAGTCCATCCAGACAAGTCAGCGTCAACATTTTAACTGAAACACACACACACAGGGCTGTGTAAAGAGTGTGTGTGGCTGAGAGAGAAGACACTGCAGGCGGCCGAACAGACAGATAAAAAGATGGTGCAAAGTTTGAATAGGAGACATTTTCCCGGGGCTGAAGCACAGACTGGATATCTGGAAATAGGAAGAAGCCTCCAGGGTTTCTTCCTGTTAAAAGGGAGTTTTTCCTTCCCACTGTCGCCAAAGTGCTGCTCATAGGGGGTCATATGATTGTTGGGTTTATCTATTTGTGTATTATTGTAGGGTCGACCTTTCAATATAAACCACCTTGAGGTGACTGTTGTTGTGATTTGGCGCGGTATAAATAAAACTGAATTGAATATAAAAGATGGGTGCAGCCATTGTGACATCACTCATTAGCCAAGTCCTCCAAAAGCTGCAGTTCCTCCAGGGTCCACTCGAGGCTCCAAAAGTGAGTCAGCGGCAGTTTTGTTTCAAACACTTCAAAAAATTCTCTTATGCAGTGAAGAGTAACCAGAGGTAATTTTACCGGCAAACAATTCAATTTGAAATATACTGAAAGAATCCTCAGAGACCGACTTCCTGCAACTATCCAGGAACAATCTGCTGACAAACACCTTCCAGCATGACGGAGCTCCATGTCACAAGACAAACATGATCTGAAGTTTGCAGAAATCTTGAAACTTTGGATTCATGGGCAGGAAAATTCCCGTGTCGTAATCTGACCTACAATCTTTGGTCGGTGGTTGGACGAGGAGAAGCCGACAAAGCGACCAACAGGCTGAAACGCTGATCGGGCAAGAATGGATCTAACAAGTCGTGACAGTGAACCAAGTGTGGTGACTGGACTGGTTCTTAACTGCACACTCAAAGGGCTTCATCCAGCGTGTCTCACTGACACGAGCACCGTTTCTAACATTCACACTGCCGTGGATGCATCTGAGAGCACTTTGGGGTTCGGTGTCTTTCAGAGGAAGACTCTGGCATGCAGACTATCAACCTTCCAGGTAGAGGACCATAAATTTGTCGATACAACCCGAGTTTGAAGTATTTGCTACTTTGGTGTGTCTGAGTGTTTGCCAGGTTCTTTTAGACTTGTAAAAAATCGGACAGGGGGTCCGCGGGGCTGTGATTCATACATTCAGTTGGCAGGAGAAAGGTCGCTGGGTCAAGCCAGAGCCACAATTCCCCTTTGAGGTTGCATCAGGAAGGGAATCCAGCGTAAATCTGCAAAATCAAACCATCTGCTGTGAAACCTTTTATGGCAGAGGATCAGCAGAACTAGCTTTAAACTTCTCACAGTCTGACAGAAAACACTGAAAGGAGCCGAAACAAGTAAATCGACAAGTTAAAAACTGCCACAGGCAGCTCCAGCCTGGCACCTCGGCTAATTCCAGTCCCTGAACTGGACCTTGTTTGTATCGTTGGAGCCTTTTTAATGACATCTGACCAATTATATGGCTTCTGTGAGGTTACTGTAGTAACTATGAAGTCTGAGTGAAAGTCGAGGACTTTATTTGGATGTGACTCGGCGCTAATTAGCAGGTATCTGTGATGTGAGCGTGTTAGCCATGTTAGCTAACAATGCGGCACCTCAGCTCTCATCCAAATACAGTCCCCGCTGGCGCCAAAGCGCCAACATTTAGGAAAGCATCTTTTATATACAGTCTATGATTTTACCCCCAGCCAGACTCTGAGGTCTGATTTTTGGCGTTATGATCGAATAATAGACCTAAATTATCACCAAAGACAGACCGCGCTGTTTCGTTTTCCTGCTGCTTTCTGTGCAGTAATGAAACCCTGTGCGTCGGGGCCTCGTCGCACGTTTTACGGCATCTGAACCGGAGCCTGCAGAAGGCGTCGAACTCAAACAAGCCGTCTCAGCACAGGAAGGACGTTAAGTTATCAATTAATAATGAGAATTAAACGAGCTCCACGAAAACACAAAACTGGCATGAAAGACAAACTTCAGCTTCATCAGAAATACTCCATGTTTACTCACATTTTACTTTTATGATTCACAATTTAAGTCTCTGCAGGTTGAAGAAATCAAAACACAATTTTTTCATTCAGCTTAAAAAACCAAACAAACCAAAAAAGCCCCCAAAACCCACTGCAGTGAGGAGACAGACACCTGCGCGTGTAAACGTGAAAAATCCAACAAACACAAAACATTTAACGTTAAATCGGTCAAAATATACTGTTTGTGTATGCAGAGTATACAGAGAGGCGTATAAGTACAAACAGGAAATAAAAGGATCTGAGCATCAACTCTGCTCCCAGCGTATGTACAGGTCAAGGCTTACAAAGCTCATAAGTTCAGGGATGAAATCACACGGCGACAGTGAGCTCTCGCTCCCATCGGTTCCCTCCTTCATCTCTCCCTCCTCCTCGTCACGTGGGCGTACCTCTCGGTGATGCCAGTCTCTTGTTTTTTAAAAAAAGCTTCTCTTTTGTGCTTCACTCCATCTTGGACATCTCAAACTTGGTCGTCATCGTTTCCTGCAACAGAAAACACAGCAGCACGTTTATAGTTTCAGGAGCTTTAACCCACAGACTGTTGAAGCGTCCACCTTAGAGCAGACGCACGGCCTCAGAGCTCCTGAAAATCATCTATATCATATCTTACAGAAAGACAGATTTAGGAAGGATTTACATCCTTTTGACTCGACGCTGGAATATCGTCTGCAGGCTGTTCCACTCCTGCACGGCCACACGGGGAATTTTGTGTTTTTGTTAAAATTACTGGCGCTGACCTCACTGAAATTTGCACCTTTTGCAGACTCAGCCCGGCGAGCTGAACTGGACCCTCTGGTGGTTCTGGTCCCACGTGACCCCTGCTTTACATTCTCAAGCAGTCAAAATGTTTCCACAGCAGGACAGTGGAGCTCAGCGTGGACGTAAACAGCGATGGTCCTGAGTGGATCTACAGCCTAAACCTTCTGCTCAGAACCGGCCTTTCTGACAGCTCGGAGCACTCTCTGAGCAACAACCTGCAGAGGTCAGCACCATTTACAAATATTAAAAAGCTCTTTTACATCAGGTTATTTCAGGCTCGGGGATTAAGGAAGGTCAGAGAGCAGCTTCTGTCTTCACCTCCGTGTTTTCATGAGAGACACTGAGGAGCGTTTCAAACAAAGCAGGAATCTTCACACGCTGGCTCAGCTGCCAGAATCCAGGTTAACAGGATTTATTCAGGTAGCAAAACAACACAAAGCGTCGGGGTGACGGCAGGTGAGGCAGAATTTCCTCCTCGATCGTGATGAATTGCGTAATTTACCATAACAGGCAGGTTGGGTTCAGAGTCAGCCCTCGTTTATCTCTTAAATAACAAGAACGCGTTACATAATCTACCAAAGGGAGGTGACGAGCAGGGAGTTAAAGGCATTATTTCCCCTTAATTTAACCCTTTGATGAGCCGGCTTCGTTACGTACACGTCCATTATCCTCGCTGGCAGAACGAAGCCCGCTCGCCCTGCGGGGAGCAGAGCGTGTGCACACTTCATATCTTCTGTGGGTTTTAATACCCCTCTGCGTTCATATGGCCGCTTATGTAAGAAATTGATTTTACATAAGAGGCACTTTGTTGATTGCTGGACGCCTTAAAGAGGCTCGGTTTGGAGACGAGAGAGTAAATAATTTGGAAAATGGTTTGAATGAACAGCCAACAGAGGACACGAGGAAAAACACAGACGGATATTAAAACGAGCGCGGCGTCTGCTGGACGTCAGTCTGAGGCCACGGGAGCATTTTTACTGATCACACAAACAATGATGAGTAAAAATACAAATTTGTTTTTATTCAGAGGATCATTAACAGCTGCAGCACGCACACACTAACACACACACGCACACACACTAACACACACACGCACGCACACACACTAACACACACACACACGCGTCTGTCGCGTCACATCTTTCTGCTCACCATGACAACACACGAGGACGATAAACAACAGTATGACGTAACCAGCAGCACAGGGTGTCTACTGTGGATCTGCTGCCTCCTGCTGCTCATAAGCTGTGTGTGTGTGTGTGTGTGTGTGTGTGTGTGTGTGTGTGTGTGTGTGTGTGTGTGTGTACCTGCCTAGAGATCTTTGTGGGGACCAAAAATTGGAACATTACTAAACTTGTGAGGACAAAAGTGGCCGTCGTCACGAGTCTGAAGGCATTTTTGAGACTCAAAATGTGGTTTTAGAGTCAGGGTTACAGTTAGCCTGAACCTATCCATAACCTGAGGGTTAGGGTTAGCAGCTAGGGAAAGCATTATGTAAATTAGATGTCCTCACAAACAAAACATGAAAACGAGAATGTGTGTGTGTGTGTTTCTCAATAAGTTCGAGTTTGTTCACTGAGCTCTCCGAGTAAACTCAGTAAGACTGCAGGTGAGAACAGTTTGACGCTCTGTGGTCTCCAGAGGGAGATCCATCCAAACCACCACAGCTTTACTTCACAAATGAATATAAAGTGATAATGATGATAACGTGGAGTTTCAGGGTGAATCACAGAAATGAAAACACTATTTAAACCCTGCAGCTTCGTCCCACTGGTTCAGTTTCTCTTTTAAATGCAAATATATTTAATATGTTAAAGTTGATTTTTTTAGCCCTCTATAACAGAAACATAGTTTATAATAGAAACATCTGCTTGACTTTGCACCTGATCCCAGAGGAGCTGGGCACCTTGTCCTCTAAAGTATAAAAGATGTGACCTTTAAAAATGATATATTCCTGTGGATTTCAAAGTTTTACAGACTTCAGAATTTCAATTAACTGGAAAAGAAACAGTTTATTGACATTAAATGAGCTCTGATGGCTCAAATGCGATACCTCGCAGCCCATGAGGGGACCCCACACTCTCTGGGGACCTTTCGGGACTTCTCATGTCCACTTCCTGCATTTCTCTTTAACGCAGATAAACAGACTCCGGTGATAAAGCTGCGTGCTGCTTGATTTTGTCGTTGTTACCTGCAGGTTATTGTCAGTAACGATGACGATCTCATTTATTATTTATCTGTTAGCGGCCTCAAACACAATTTTCAAACTGTGATAAAGTTTAAACTTTAATAACTAAACCATCAGCTGGTCAGATCCCAGTGCGTCTACTCCGGGTACCATTTGTGCCTTTGTGCTCTAAATTCTCCACAGTGACGGAGAAAGTTTCATTTTACGTTTGAAGTGATGTCAAATTTTTTCAGTGAAGTGAAAGTTTACCTCGTCAGAGTCCAGCAGGGGCGGCAGGGCGCTGCGAGGAAGGGAAAACACGTTCAGTGTCACGTTTCTGATTTACAATAATCAGCAGATTCACACTGATTAACGCTCGTCACGACTTACACATCTGCAATAGATGACGGGATGTTCTCCTCAACCCACTTCAGGTCCTCATCCTAAGGAGATTAAACATGAGGGATCATGCTGCATGATGCAAATAGAAGATTTTCCTTTGAACACTAAACATGGGTTCATCAGCTGTTACAGAAACTGTGACTGAATGCAGTAAAATAAGCAGCTACCACGACTGAACAATAATCAGTTTAGTAAAAACTTTAGTGAGTAAAGTTAAAAAAGGATATAAAAAAGAAAAATAAGTTTTAGTTTCTAATCCATTCAACGGATCCAAAAAAATTAAGATAACGCTGGAGCACCAAAAGCTGCAGTTCCTCTGACGTCCACCGGAGGCTCCAGCTGCTGACAGTCATGTTAAAAGGTTACAGCACAAATGAAGCACGTTTACAGCCTGATACAAAGAAATGCGCTTTTGTCTCCGCAGCTAATTTCCTCCTTCATTACTGTAATTTTTTAAAATAAATCATTAGTTCACATTTTATTGAGCAACTTTTCTGGACTGTGTTTGTGCTGTTGGTGCCTTTAGGACCATTTTAATGCCACAATCTGACCAGTAACACGGCTGCTGCGAGGTTCCTGTACAAACCACTAACACGGGCTGATGTCTGGCGGTGTTCGGATTCCTCTGACTCACCACTTTGTTAGCTTTGGCTGAGCCGTTGGCCTCATTCTTCACGCCCCTCATCTTCATCCCCTCTGGAGACACAAAGGAGTGAAAAACAAACAAACCGTGAGAAAAATAATAAAACGTAGATGATCGTTTACCAGAGGTACCTCACACATGTGCAGCATGGCTCCTGTTTCAATGATGGAAACGTATTTAACATCGTTAACGTGTTAAAAATGAGTTTCTAATAATGAGGTCACAGCTGCTCCTCAAAGCTCTTGTTAATGAGGGGCATCCAATCAGAAGAAGGCTGGTTTAAAGGGCTAAAAGCTAAAACGGCTCGCCCTAGACGGAGGATGGACTGAGTATCAGATAACGGATTATTATGAAGAGTGAATCATGGAGCTGAAGAATAAACCGAACGAATCCACTTTAATGGATTCATTTCATCTCAGGCTAAACAGAAAGAGGAGAGAAGTGAGGCGGGTGTGCATTCTGACCAAAAGCCTCGTTCATCATGGGCTCCTTCTCCTCTTCATCGCTCTCTTCATCCACCAGAGGACTGAAGGCGTACCTGTTACAGACACAGAGGACACGGCTTTACTTTACAGACACAAACTGGAGACTGGGGATTAAAAAAAACCCAAAACAACATCCCACCTCTGGTTATTGGCTGACGGTCGCCATAGAAACATAATGACCAATAGGATGATGGAGAACAAGAAACGCCAGAAAGCGTCATCTATCCACAGCTCCCTCCAGTCCTGCAGAGAGAGAGAGATTCAGCAGTGAGGAAGAAAAAACAAACTCGGTTCAGAGAATAAATCGAATTAATCGGAATTCTTCTCATTTTTGCAGTTAAATATTCTCCAATGAAATTTACCAACCAAATGAAAGCAAGAAATGAAAGAGAGAGAAGCTGGAGAGCAGCTTTAACTGAATCCAAGCGCTGAAGCACTTACAGACTGACATTTGGACATCCTGAAGGTCTTCGTGGTCCAGATGATGAAGATGACCGACGCTGAAAAGCACACAAACATCCTTAAAACACGGACATGAAAATAAAATGTTAAACACAAAGAGAACTTTGAATACCTATGACAGCAAAGATGAGCGTGTTGGTGAAGTGTCTGTAGAGCGAGAGCTTCACCACGTTCCTCCTGAGGCGCAGCAGCTTCATCGTCTGAATCAGGCTCACAAAGATGTGACGACACGGTCAAGGAACTTCACCAAGAGGAAGACTGAAACTTGTCATGCAACATTCACTTCACACGCAGGACAATTTAATACTTTAACTCTGTCCCACTCAGCTAACATCCACTCCCTCCCTGCCACTGCACAGGTAGGAACAACCCAACAGCAGACGCACCTGTCGGATTTTCTCTGTGCCGATCACGCTTTGAGTTCTCCTGGTGCTTCAGGGTAACTCTCAAAACGGACCCTCTGATGTTTAAGGACACCTCTGATTCAAGGGTCCATGTATCAGTTAGCTCTGGCTAAATATGTAACAAAGCAGCAAGGTAGAAACAAGTGAAAAAGAAAGGGAGAGAAAGCCAAACTTTCACTAGAAAGGGGGGAAGGTGCAGCGGCGGATATCCACCAGCAGAGGGTAGAGTCGAGCACAGCCAGAGGAATAGCAGCCAGGAGCACTACATCATCTTCAGCCTGGAGAGGGAAAGACAGGAGAAGACACGGAGGATGAGGCAAAGGAGACAAAATGAAGAGGAAGAGGAGGGACGCAAGAAAGCAGGAAGGGAAGGAAAAGAACGGAGGAAGTAAACAGAAAAGAGAAGGGTGAGAGGAAGAAGAGAAATGCACACACAGCCCACCCACACGCAGCACAGCGAACAGCTTCTGTTCAGTCTAAAAGGTTTGTTTTGCTCATCAGGGTGCAGCAGGTGGGTGGAGTTTATTCAGCATCCCTCATGTCGCTCCATCATTGGATATTTTAGTGGGTCGGACGCATTTACATCCCCCAGCAGGGAAAAACAAACAGGAAGAGACAAACAAGAGGACCCGGTGTGTTCAGAGATTTATCGCCCTCTGGTGGCTGCAGCTGAAACAGCCGCTTCGTTTGGACTTTAAATTTAGACTTAAATGTGTCATCAAATATTAAGTCAGTTGAATTCTGTGGTTTTTTTGCTTTGCTGAATTTTTTATTATAAATTCAGTTTTTACTTTAATTTAAGCTTATTTTAGTTTATTGGATGGTCCATTTTTACCTCATTGATGTTTTCATTTTGCTTATTGTTATTTTTATCTGATTGGACTCGTTTCAGCTATTTCTTATACATCCGGTGTGTTTTACTTCATTTTGACTGCTGTAACTTTCCCCCCCACAGTCGAAGACTTTTGGTGACCTGCCACTGACGAGGGCTCAGGCTTCTAAATAAAATAAAATCTTGTAAGAAATGTGTTTGTCCAAGAAAAGGCATGAAACAGGAAAAAGAAACCTTCACTGCCGATGCTCCCTGGATGCATTTGACACCTAGTTTAGGCCCGTGTAGCTCAAATGTGCAGAGCAGAAACATTTGGGGCTCAGCTTTAAGCCTGCAGAGATTTACAGGACCGAACCAAAGCTTTGGCACGGAGCTCGCAGCTTTGAGCCGTCCACTCAAACCAATTATGCACGGACACCTCGCTCTGGCATTTCAAATAAATTAATGCCCCTAATGGAAGCTAACACAGCCACAACAGGTGCAAAAGAGACTCTTGTCTGCATTAAATTAAGAAAAACCCTCAGTATGATTCATTTCAATACTCTCCTCCCAAAACGATGACTCTGAGAGGAAAACCCCTACAAACACAAAAAGATGCCTCCCCACGCCGATGCCTCTTTATTAAATCCTGACAGTGTGGCCATTAATACATTCTTCAGTGATTTATGTGCACTTATGTGTGACGGATTTTATTTAGTTTTCAAAAGATTAATTAAGCGTGAGAGGATGATTCTCTTAATACATGTTAAAGGATATCCACCAGACAATACAGGAATCAGTGAAGGCCAGCACTATGTCACACAAAAATCTACTGCTGGTGTCCCCTCGATCCTGCAGAGAAAAACATGTCAGAGACACACACACACACACACACACACACACACACACACACACACACACACACACACACAGTACTGCAGCGCTCTTGGGACTCACAGCGTTGACTCTTAAGAGTCCCTCGATGATGGAGAAGATCAGGTAGAGCAGACCAACGCCAACGACTCTGTGCAGCAGAGCGCCGAGTCTCGGCCTGCGGGAGAGAAACGAGAAACATCACTCTGTGTGTGTGAACTGTACCTGGAGATAATGACCGCTATATAAAGTGAGTTGGATCAGGTGGCAAGGGATGGCGCTGGACAGACCTGTCACGCCAAAATGTATAGTGAGGGTGTGTTGGTAACGCCTAGCAGAGGCCCAGTCCGCGAGATCTTCAGCTTCAACAGCATTCTGAGGGAGACTGGGGACATTGAGTCCGGATGGACCATGTTCAGCATCTCCACTGTCGAAGCTGTTGCACTGAGCTGCGGCAGCAAGGTGGTTGGTGCCTGTCGTGGTGGTAACCCCCGCACCAAATGGTGGACACCAGATGTGAAGGAGCCACCAAGCTCTGATAGGAGTATGAATGCATCGGAGAGCAAGTGGGGAGCAAGTGTATTCGGCATGCAGACAGGAGCCAGGGATCGAACCACCAACCGATCAACAGATGACCTGCTCTACCTCCTGAGCTACCCCAGTTGTATTCCAACTACAAGGGGAATCACTCCTCGGCCTCCCTGGGAAAGTCTATGCCAGGGTGCTGCAAAGGAGAGTTCGTCCATTAGTCGAACCTCGGATACAGGAGGAACAATGCGGTTTTCATCCTGGTCATAGATCACTGGACCAGCCCTTTACCCTCACAAGGATACTTGCGGGTGCATGGGAGTTTGCCCACCAATCTACATGTGTTTTATGGACTTGGAGAAGGCATTCGACCGTGTCCCTCAGGGGGTCCTGTGGGGGGTGCTCCGGGAGTATGGGGTGTCTGGCCCATTGCTACGGCCATTCAGTCCCTATACAACCATTGCAAGAGATTGGTCCACATATCGGCAATAAAGTCAGACTTGATCGGGAGATCGACAGACGGACTGGGCAGCGGCCGCAGTGATGCAGATGCTCAATTTCCCGGTCGATCTACGTCCCTACCCTCAACTATGGCCACGAGCTGTGGGTAGTGACCGAAAGAACGAGGTTGCGGATACAAGTGGCAGAAATGAGCTTCCTCTGAAGGGTGGCTGGCCTCTCCCTTAGAGATAGGGTGAGTACGGCCATCCAGGAGGGGCTGAGAGTAGAGCCACTGCCCCTTCACATCAAAAGGAGCCAGTTGAGGTGTTTCGAGCATCTGACAAAGATGCCTCCTGGGTGCCTCGTTCCGTGCATGTCCCACCGGGATGAGGCCCCGAGGCAGACCCAGGACACACTGGAGAGATTATATCTCTTGGCTGGCCTGGGAACGCCTTGGTCTTCCCCCACACAAGCTGGAGGAGGTGGCTGGGGAAGGGGAGGTCTGGGCTTCTCTGCTTAGGCTGCTGTGCCCTCGACCCCGTCCCGGATAAGCAGAAGGAGATGGATGGATGGAATCAGAAACACTTTCAGTGGATCTCAAAGTTCTTTCAGTTCGCCGCTTGACTGCATTTCCACAGTGGTGATATTAATAGAAATCTATGGGAGGATTCCCCATCTGCAAACATGGCGGTTATCCCTTAAACCGCGAAACACAAGCAAGTTCTGGGATCTGCTACAGAGACTCTTATCTTCCTCCTTGTTTAAAGCTGGAATCAAACTTTTTTTGTTTAGTGAATGAAATTTAAAAAATGCAAAGAGTATGCTTTTGACATGACATCGATTCTGAGCCAGGTAAACAAACAAAAACCTGTAACCCAATCACGTGGCCGCACTGATCTGAGGATGGAGTTGTGCGCCATTTCTTTTTGGGTTTTCTAACTTTCCTTGATGCATGATATAAATTTTAATGGAGTCCGTTCAGTCCTCTGGTTGGATCAGCAGAACTGACAATAGCATCAGCGGTCTGCATTTAAAAGTAATGTCATGTGACGCTGCACAGAACAGAAAAGGGAGGAAATCGTATTTTTGAGCAAAGTCAGCAAAATGTTTTGATTATTTTATGAGACTTGACTGGAGACTCGACACAAGCAATTTTTATATCCTATTATTATGTAACTAAAGGTAAGACTTTCTCCTTTACGTCGAGGATTCAAAATAATACGAAGCACTCTGGACCCATCCAGGACTTCATAGATGTAGTTTCAGGGCTGAAAAGTGACACCATCGCATAAGAGCCTCAAACCTGCACTCTTTCTAAAGACCAGCAGGGGGCTCCTCTGGTTCCAAAGACTTCTGATTACATAGAACAGCGTTTCCCAACGTTTTGGAGCCACAGCACATATTTCACATTAGTAAAATCACATAGGACACCACCAGACAAAAATGTCACAAAAAGCTTTTTGTTTCCCAGTACACCTTTTTTGCAACAACAAAACAATTTCCAGGCCTAAATGAACATTTATGGTATTTTTCTACGATGATGCTGGGCTACAGCTCCATCTGGTGGCAAACAGGTGCATAACATTACCGGCACTAGGCTCATAAATCTGCTAACTGGCTTCAGCTAAGCTGCTGGGTTTTTAACTGCACAGCTGGAGGTTTTCAGACACATCAGCCTCAGAGTCGGTCCTTCCTTCTACTACAGAGGAGGTTCTCACAGTGGAAACATATAAAGCACCCGCCAGCCGTCAGTAACAGCTGTGAAACTCACTTGACGATGCCGTATCCCAGACTGGCGATGATGACCAGCACTCTGGCCAGAGTTCTCTTCACTGCAGAGAGCACCTCAGCAAACACCACCGCCCCGGTGACTGCAGGAGGACACGTGACACAGGATATTCATCACAGCTCTGTCACGCACCACGTGGGCCACCACCTGTGTGCGTCTTTGTCTACCTGACACGCCTTCATATCTGAGGCTCTGGAACTCGGCATAGTAAACGGCTTTCTCCAACATGCCCAGGAAGATGACCCCTCCGATCCAGAACTGAATCCGGAGCAGGTCCCTCCAGTAACACGCGGACAGAACCAACCAGAGCACGGCGAGCAGCACGTACACGATGCACATCACCATGTAGAACTGGAAGAAAGGAGCGACAGGAAGGAAATGACTTATTGCTGCATTTTAAATACCAGAGCAAATAAATATCATTTTAATTTCTCTGCGTGCACGTGTTTGCTCTTACCATCATCAGAGGCCATTCGGACGCCGATATAAAGCCATGTGGACCCTTCATACTGATCTCGACTGCAAATGCAAACAGAGTGGGTATCAGACGGTGACTAAAAGCATTATATAAAGTAGCCTCTGCTCACTGAACATCAGAGCAGACCATCCAACTCCTCTCAACATAGCTCCATGTTATAGTCCTCTACTCGACCAATCAGCCTCCTTTAGCAAATGCTAGCTTTAAACACAAACAAACAAACAAAAAAACCCCCAAAAAACAGGCAGAATCAGCCTCACTCTAAAACAAACTGAAGGACATGAAAGTCATTTTATTTCAGTTTGGACGTGTTATGGATGCTGGATTTGAGAAAAACCAAATCAAAGATGTTCTTTTGTTGTACAGAAGCAGGTTTAAATGGTTGTTTTTCACCAGTTTAGTTTCATTTACACCAGGGGTGTCCAACTCCAGGCCTCGAGGGCCGGTGTCCTGCTGGGTTTAGATGCGTCCTTGATCCAGGATGTGGATTTAGATGTGATTCAGGAGTGTTGACCCAGGGTGAGATCTAAAACTTGCAGGACACCGGCCCTTGAGTCCTGGAGTTGGACACCCCTGATTTACGCCTTTGAGGACCAGCTCTCGAGCGCCCCCTGCAGCAACACCAGGTGAACTGCAGTTGATGTTTCTCAAATTCGCTCTGATTAGACTTCACTGACACGCTGGTTGAAATGTTTTATTTAAAAAGCCTGTTATTGCGATTTTGAATGATTTCATTATGAGACACAGACTTAACATATTTTAATTACAATTGTAAATCTCATTGATTGTTAACTAATCCTGAGACTAATGCAGACAGCTGTCTGTGTTTGTGTTTTATGTATGCGCATGCACTGACGCTTCAGGTTCCATGGATTTTTGGCACTAGACTGCTGGTTCTTGTCTTCGACTTTGAGGATGAACATGTAGGGTCCGTCATCCCAGCTCTGAGCCACCGCATCGAAACCAGGATTCCCAGCCTGAGCAACAGCGGAGAGAGAGCAGCTTTTACATCAATTTAAAGAAGCCTCCACCTGGATGTCCTGGGATCACAAGATAATCTTTCAGGAATAGCAGCTGACCTGTTTTTGATCTTTGACGGTGTCGTTCATCTTTGCTGACTGTGAGACAAAGAAGAACAACCTTAGTTAAACTGACTCAAACACACGACTTCGTCCCATGAAGCGTTTCGTAATTTGGTCCAAAACATGCACAACAATGACATCATTTCCTATTCTTCCATTAACTGAAGACAACAGATAAGCAAACACACAAATCAGAACATCACAAAGCTTTGTTTGCTGCCACAGCAGAGAAAGTAAAGGTACTTTCAGCTGCTCCCACAATTATTTAAATTTATTATCAACATAATTTCCTTAAATGTTAAGGAGCCCTGGTTCCAGACCGGGCGGAGACAGAAGCCCAGGCTCAGAGGGGCACAAACTAGTGTAGCTCTCATACTGATCCTAGATGAGGAACAGGAGCGTGGGGTTATAAAGGGCGTGAGGTAGGGTGCACAATCTGTGGAGGGTGAAGCTGAGAGCAGCAGCTGTTTGTACGAGCGTGGAAAGAGCTTATCTCAGCTTCTGCTGTTCGTTATTTTACACATTAACGCCCTGAAATTCAACTGTTGGTCTGACACTGTGTATTTATGCAGGCATGCAATTACATTTTCTGCATGCTCCCCTTTATGCTCAGTGAATGCGCATTCATATCTTTGTGGGGACCAAATCCTTGTCCCCACAAGATATGAATACCCAACGCGTGTGCATGATGTGCTCACCTGTGGCTTTGGAGCCTCTCTCTTTCGTCTCCCTGAAGCGTTTCCTGTGCTTGGCTGAAATACAAACAGCAGCTTAAACCAACCGGACAAACCAGAAAAGGTGTGTGAGCAAAGCGGCCATGATGATTCTCATCAGACATGCAGAGCATGTAAAACACGCGCAGTCTGAGACACACCTCAAAGGGTCAAACTGGGAGTACAGTCAGTACACAGAGCTGAAGCTAGCTGCCGAGACAAAGGGCCGTAGTTCAGGTGTTTGGCTTTTTTGATTGTGAAGAACAGAAGGAAAAAGCTCACCTGTGCCTGCTGCAGTGGTTTCAGTGGATGTATCGCCTCCGATTGATTCAGGTTGAACTGAGTCATAAAACAAACACGCCCGTCTTAGCGTTCAATCACCACACAGACACTTCATTCAGTATTTGCACTGTATGTGCGCGTGTGTGTGTTCACCTTGGGGTTCTGATGGTCACAGTGGATTGTAGGATACGTGTGTGAAGAATAGGACCCAGTTCCTCCTTCTCTCTTGACGCTCTCGGACATGGAGTACTCTTTTGCCAGCTCTTTCTGCAGATGGCACACATGTGATCATTTGACATGTTGGATCCTGAGACGAGACTCAGTGTTGTCACACTTATAGCAGTCCGAGGATTATGAATTAAAAAAAAAACAATTAAAAGTGTGATTGTTGTTATTGCATTTCAGTGGGAAAGCAACTAATGACAGAAAAAACAAAATGAAACGTGAAAACTGAATCCTGATTGTTTGGGAACGCTCCTGTGTGGAGTGTAAACCCAAAGGTTTGGGGAAGGGACGCCATCTTTGTAGTCTTTACCCGCAGACCATCAGATTACACGTATATGTGGGGTGTGTGTGTCAACTCAAGCATATCAACATTCTCTGAGGTTTGCAACACTTCCTGTTGGAGAAGTGTTGCATCAACTCGTCTGCAGCAGAGCCAAAGTTTTACTGCCCTTCAAAAAAAGCATTGTGTTTGTATTTTAAAATATTAATGCAAATTAACTAATAGAATATATAATTTCATTTTAAGTCAGAATGTTATGACATCCTGGAAAGAAATATGGTCTTATGCACCCCATGCCCACCTTTAGATTCACCCCTGCTTCTTGCAGGTATCACTGCCGTAGACAGTTTATCATATCAGAAGAAGTTTACAGCTCATCTGCATATTTTAACGCAGCTTCTTTTTTCTCTGTGTGGATGAAGCATCTACAGAGTTCTCCTTCCTTCACGCTGAAGCTTGTGGATCAGGCGCTTTGCTTTAAAGGTGACTACAGGAACAAGCACCGCTCGCTTGGATCACCTCTGCTTCCTCGCTGTGTTCCTGTGTGTGTGGACAGACTCCACATTAACCTGCTTGCTCATAGGAGGGTTTTTCTCTGTACATATTACTGTAGGGTCGACCTTAAAATATAAAGCGCCTTGAGGCGACTGTTGTTGTGATTTGGTGCTATATGACAACATCATCCTCACTGCTGATGTTGTGTTATCAGTGTTGCTGTTAAGAAACTGGAGCCTGTGTGGTCAGAGCCATAAATAAAGCACAAAAAATGTGCATTGAAGATCCTTTTTTTTTAAAGTCAAGTTATACATCACCTCCTTACTGATCCTCTCCCGTTATTTGTATTATTCAATGAATAATGGTTGGAGTTAATACGTCTGTTAAACCCTTAAAGCTGAACGTCTGCGCTTCACGTGACTGTCTGACTCGGCCTAGTGCACAAAGGCAAAACTGTCCACAAACTTCCAACCCTAACTGTTAATCAGTAATGATGTTGGGACTCTGTGTTTTTGAGCGTCTGTGTGCGACAAAGTTACAGGTTAAAAGAAAATACTCAGATCATCTGTAGAAGTTTGCAGAAGTCCAAAACATGGAAGTAGCGAATGCTCCAAATAAGCAGTTTCCAGAGAAGAAAGCAGAGCGTCTTACGTTCAGGTTGAAGACTTCGTCGCTGCAGCGCGAGCTCCTCAGATACCAGGAAATGTCCAGGATCGGGTGAGAGGTGGTGCAGTCTTTTGATACAACTGCACACACAAACAAACCAAATTAACTCACTTCTAGGCCGCAATGCTGTTCCACTTGTTATTTTCTTTATTTCACTTCATAATTTTAACCTGACTGTTTCTGTGCTCAAAGTCAGCTTTCGTCTGATTGGCTATCCTTCATTAACAAAACGTTTGAAGAGTGGGTGGGTGGAGCTTCTGTCCTCTCAGACAGACACACAGGTAAACCTGAAAGTGTCTGCCTACATTTAATATGAACACGTGATATGTTCTGTAAAATAAAGTTTAATAAGTCCACTTTAAGTAAGCTTTATGTTTCAGAATGTGAGACATTACAGTTTCTGCTTCTGCCTGCACAGCAAACAGAAACTGGACTTTTTGGACAAACCCAAACGTTATTATCCAACTCTGTAAAATAAAGATTTAAGAAAGAAGAAACATCTGCTTACATTTGATACTGATAAAGCTGTTATTGAACAGAGTTTTACTGTAGAAGAAGTACGTCTGGTCCTTCAGGACAGCCTGAAACAAACAAAGAAAATCCATTTTTATTCTCTGACAGTTAATTAAGTCACAACTAGGGCTGCCACAAACGATTATTCTGATAGTCGACTAGTCAGATCATCATCCATTGGACGTACAGCTTATTGCACCAGCAGCATCTGCTCTTATATAACTATCATTAGCTTACAGCTTTAAGTGTTTAAGGTCTGTGCTAACTAACAATAAAGACAAGATGATGGTTTATTAAACTTTTAATGACATTTGGAGATTAATAAATTTGTCCGTCTGTTCTTTCTATCTAAATATAACAGGACACCGGAGTAAACTCTCGACCGTCTCACACTTCTGTTTAATCAGTTTTCTGTTTGACGTTTATTCAGCTGTGTGAAAATTATAACTTTAATCTCAGCCAAACAATGATATTTTTAAGTTATCTAAGTGACTTCTATATCATGTTTGAGTAGGCACAGATCTGAAAACCATGTGCCGGGAGGTCGCTGTTCTCGCCGGCTCTAGTGAGGCTTGAACCCGAGCTAGCTACGAGCTGGTGGCTAACAGACGTCTCCGTGTGTTTCGTGGATGTTGTCGTGTTTGTCGGGGAGAAAACTTACAAACTTACAGTACAGCACTACAGAGTCACACTGCTGGTGATTGATGTACTGTACAGGAGAGACGGCACGGAGGAGATCGACAACGATCTACAGCCGATGCGCTTTGAAAAAAAAAGAGCATGAAAAACTGCACCAAAATAAAATCAGCGAGACCGCGAAAGGTGAACCGCGTTATAGCGAGCGACTGCTGTAACTGTGAAGATAAGTCACAACATACCCTTCATAAATACTAACCTGTAGAGACCCTGACCAGCAATCATTCATGCATTTTTATATTCTGTGGCTTTTAAACACTTTGATCACTTGGTCAGGACCAGATATCGGTTTCATTCTGTTCTGATGTGAAAAACCTCACAGCTAACACAAGGTGGGCTTTGTTTTTACATGACTTGTAAAATGTGTTGATTAATTATGATCTTTACTCATCTCCTGGGAGACTAAAGCCTGTAACCTGCAGGCTTATTGTTTGTAAGCGGTCCCAGTCCGATATTTCCAGCTGCCCACACAAACACAGTGCCCTCCATCCAGCCGTGGTCCCTCCCGAAAGTCGATAAATTCAGGGTTTTTCTGCATACAAGTTCCACCAAAGGAAAATCACCAGGACTGTGATAAAACTATTTTTCGCTATACTCCTGAAAACACTCATTTGCAGCCCCGTGTGTGAAGCATTAAAGGAAATACAAATTTCAGCCCCTGAGATGCCTGTTATCGTGTTACTCTGTGTTCAGAATCAGAATCAGAATCAGAAAGGGTTTTATTGCCAAATGTTGAGCAGGTTTACAACATCAGGAAATTGCTGCGGTGCTTCAGTGCAAACATACTGTCATAAAAATATAAAAATAAGAATAAGAATTAAAAGTGCTAAGTGGGTAGATATATACATGATATATACATGAGTGCAGGTGGTGATCAGTGCAAACATGGAATGATGCAGTGACACAGCGTAGGGTCATGTGTTAGTGGTGGGGACAGTCATGTGGTTATTGTTCATGTGTCCAACAGCAGAGGGGAAGAAACTGTTCTTATGGCGAGAGGTTCTGGTGCGAATGGACCGGAGCCTCCTGCCTGAGGGGAGCAGGTCAAACAGACTGTGTCCAGGGTGAGAAGGGTCAGCTGAGATCCGAGCTGCACGCCGCAGTGTCCTGGAGGTGTACAGGTCCTGCAGAGATGGGAGTCTGCAGCCAATCACCTTCTCAGCAGAGCGCACAACACGCTGCAGTCTCTGTTTGTCCCTGATAGTGGCTCCAGCGTACCACACGGTGATGGAGGAGGTGAGGATGGACTCGATGATTGCAGTGTAGAACTGCATCATCGTCCGTGTTGGCAGGTTGAATTTCTTCAGCTGCCTCAGGAAGTACATCCTCTGCTGTTTTTGGGAAGGTGACTTCAGTGTTTGGGAACTTTGTGTATTTAATTCCACACCACTGCTGGTTGTGCAGATTAAAAACAGTGTCAAGGCTCGCAAAATTTCTAAATCCCTGGCAGCCCTTCGGGCCGGCACTCTGCAGTTTTTGGTAAAAATAAATTCAAGTAGCCCGAATAAAAAAAAGAGCATTTTTTTATGTTTTGTTTCCCGTTTTGTTTCCGTTGTAACAGAAACAAAAATTAATCAAAAAATTGTTACAATATAAATCACAACAACTGTATAAAAATGACAAACATCAACTCAAATACTTGGTTCTGATTGAACAGAAATTTCTATGAACTTGTAAGAACTGCGTAGGACATGGATCTGACATTTCCACTGGAGTCACTGGTAAGAGGCAAGTGGAACCAACATCTAGGACATTTGCTTTTTGAAGTTTGCTAAATCTGGCCAGTGGTAGGTCACTCTGCTACACAGCACGCGGCTCTAAACAGCTTTGTCAGGACTTCTTCTTGTGCTCGGTTCATTTTTAGTATGTTTTTTGCAATTGCTGTTTGTTCTGGGAAAGATACTGCAGACTGGGCAATAATGCATTTCTTGCATTTCTCATGGGTTCTGATGGGGTCTTTCTTAAAATTACTGGTCCCAGTAACAAAGGCGCTTGTCGACTCAGCTACGCACCTGCGGACCACTTATGTGCAGCCCTGGTTATTTAGCTCGTCATATTGCAGCCACAGAAATTCTTTTGTCCATGAAACCATAAAGCTGCACTTTCTTTTTGCCTTATAGTCTGATTTGTCATAACTTCTCCGTTTTGTGGTAAGCTTTTCTTTGGCTGTCACTTCTTCACCCTGACCTGTCTTATTTGGCTCAGCAGAACTGAAATATATCCTGCTGCTTTTACACACGCACTCACATAACGCTCAGCGATTCTCTGCACGATCAACCTCTCACATGTTTAAGCTGCAGGAGATTTCACTTGTCATGTCTGAATAGTAAGCTAATGACTGATAAGACGATGTCAGAGGAATTGGTGCGCAATTAATCGTCACTCACCAATCAGTGCTGTCGCTCTCTACACGCCGTTCGCGCAATCGCAAAGTGAAAGCAAAAAACAAGCGTAAATTCAAACGCGATTTCAATATGTCACATAGTGACAGTGGCTCACCGATGCCAATGACATAATTACTCAGATACATTTTCCAAAGAATGCAAAAGCACTGACATTTTCCTATGATAGGCCGGGACGTCGGGCTAGCGATTTTGCGAGCCCTGACAGTGCTGTCTTTGTGCATCAGCTTTGATATTAACCCATTGATGACTCTGGTTTATCATTAACCTGCATACTGTAAGTCTGGGTTTCCAGTGCACAGTCACAGCTTTACAGTCTTCTGCAGACTAATGCATGTAACAGGTGGACAGACTGTGCTTACAGCCCAACCAATGCAGGATTTCTCAGACCCACAGCGATTAAAAATCTGATCTATCAGCAGATATTGTTTCCTTTAAGACACACAAAACTTTGTCTCCTCAGACATGTCCTGCTCTCATACTTCTCTGTCACCTCCTCATGCAGGTCTTCTGCATCTGCTTTTCTGGCTCCACAGACGCAAACATCACATGTGTGGAGCTGTTTCTCAGCATGAAGCCATACTGCTGCTCGCTGATTATCACCTCTCTTTAACCTGCTCACGACTCTTTCCCACACTTTTTATTGTTTTGCTCATCAGCTGTATTCCACTGTAGTTACTGCAGCTCTGTACATCACGCTTGTCCTTGAAAAGTACCAGCACCGCTTCTGCATTGCTCAGGCATCTTCTCATCCTACAGGACTGTGTTGAACAGTCCGGTTAAAAAGCCTGCTGGCCTCCACGTGTGTCATCTGAAGCGTCCACTTGCAGTCTTCAAAGCTGCCGTCACTGTCTTTCTTACCAATCCTCTTCCTGATTCACCAACTGTCCTCCAGTCTCTCTTCATTCACGATAACTCAGAGTACTCCTTCTGTCCTCTCAGCAGTATTTTTTTTGCCTGTCCCGTTTGGCTATGTTGCCATCAGAATTATTGTCTAAAGGCAAAGAAAGATGCCCAACGGATTTCTCAGCAGAATCTTTAAACAAGGCTTCAGCATCAGACGAGCGGCTGGTATCGGCCTGTTTCACATATACGCGAGTAACTGGTGATTTTATTGATATCAAACGTCTTCATGGCGCAGCTGGTTATCACAGGATCGTTCGTGTTGAGTGACGCGCCACTTGAATACTTTCACTTTAGCTAACGTTAGCCGTTAGCGGCGTAACGATTATGGCGCAGGGCAAACAGAGCGGCATTTTAGCGGCTGCTTCGCAGCTGAAACACGTTTTATCTGCTCAAAGCTCCTCTCCGCTCCAACCCGTCCATCACAGAACCTAAACGAACCATCACAGAATCACAGCGGAGGTACGAGCAGGAAACTCACGCTATTGATGTCCAGGTCCCACTTCCCCGGTTCCGACACGGCCGCCACCGGCCAGCTCGCTTCCGCCAGCATCAGCAGGACCAGAGCCCAGCACCGGAGTCCCGGACCGGTCCGACCCGGACCCGTGAAGCTCGCCATTTGAGCCAACAGGAAGACGAGACCGACAACAGCAGCAAAGCCTCCACGACAACTCACAAGCTCCTGAACACTTCCTGCTTCCGGGTGACGTACACGTAGCGCAATGACTCTTCAGGGGAGACGTAATAAAATTAAATAAACTTAAATTAAATAAAATGCATTTGCATTGTTTCTTTTCAAGAACGCGTTGTTGTTTAGGACAGGGAGAGATATTTTTTTTACTTATCCGAGAACATTATTTATGAAATCGTAATAAAATTAATTAATTAAAAGTTAGAAATTAAGAGAAATGACTACAAGAGAACGTAAAACATCCCAACTAACTGGTAGCGACGAGCACTACAGGGCAGCCTCAGGCATTGTTGCTGTTGTTGTCTTACACGTGCAGTTCTTTACTTTCACCACTGGAGGGCAGTGAAAGCTCTTTCATTACCGTTTTGTTAAACAGCCGATTGGTTCATTTTCCTTACAGACACTGGATTGCCCAATCAGATCTCTATAATTCGCTGTGCGCTCAGCAACTTGTAGCAAACAATACAAACTAAAAATAGATGCAGTAAAATGTGTCAAATTAACAACACGTTAGCTGTCGGTGCGGCTGCACCCTGCTGAACAGCAGTACCAACAACAACCAGTAACTGATGGCAACCAGGCCTCCCAGTGACAAGAGGCTGGAGCTGCACCGGCTCTGGAGAAGCGAGAAACATCCGGTTATACCGCATGAAGAAATCATTTATGCGAGGTTTACACTTCATGTTATCACCGCCAAAGGATACAGACATAGTTTTAAACGCACAATCATAAAAATGAAGAAAATAAATGTGATAAAACATAATCAATTTATTAATTAAACAGAAAATACAATTAAATAAATAAAATGCTATTTTCTGCTAAACTTCCTCCTTAAAAACCACAAACTTAGAAAAAATAAAACAAATGCAATCAACTATCAACAATACAATAATATAAAATAAATATTTATAAAATACAAACACAAAGTAAAATAATACAAAATAATTAAATTATAAATGCATTCAAAATTAACAACTAAAGTCAAATGAAAAGAACAAAAATAAATCAAATCATAAAACCTTATAAAATACATAAACAGCAGAGGATTCATCTAAAGAACTGTAGAATAATTCAGTGCAAGTTATTCCAATCCACACTTCTCTGCTTCAGAGTAAATAATGACAGTGATGCCTTTAATAATGTCTCTGTAAACGTGTGTTTATGAGGAAGTCTTTGTCACGATGTCAGCTGTAGTAACATCAGTAATGATGTGATCTTCAGTTCTCGAAGCTGAGACACAAGCTGAGCTCCACAGAGAGGCTGGAGCTGTCAGAGGAGGCGTTTAAAGGTGGGAGACGTAAAACAGGTCAGCCAGCTCTTTAACAGACACACCCACTGAAACAGGAAAGATGGAACATATCTGAAATATTTCTGGCAGTAATCAGCTGATGGATCAGTGGCTAGAATTTTCCTTTTACGTCCCACCTTGTCCAACATGATCTTTTTCCTGAAATCTGAAAAGTTCCAGGTCTGAAGTCTGTGAGTCAAAAGCAACGCAGACAACATTTACCAGGTTATCAGAGGATAATAAACCACCCACATCATTTCACATCACGTCGAATATAAAAACATTAACGTGTTCATCTGCCCCGGGCAGGAAAGGCTGACCATGTCCACAGCAACACTCAGGTAAGCTGTGGACGATGCTCAGTTGGACCCAAAGTGTGTCAGGATAATATCCCCCACACCACCACTCCACCAGCAGCCTGACGTGCGTTTACAGACAGGCTGAATCCACGCTTCCAAACTCTGATCGTTGAAACTCATCAGAACAGCTAATATGAGGTGAGGTCTCCTCTGTTGGTGATGAGTCATTTGACCTGTGGGCCCCTGAACGCACCACGTATTTGAACTCTAGAGGGCGCTATGATCTGGCGGCCTGCCCGTGCATCTGTGCGTGTGTTTGGGGAGGGGTTGATGACGCATTGAAAAGGAACGCTGTCAGTGGGCTCGCCCTGCAGTTCCTCCGTGTCCGTGTTCCCCGCAGTCCGTGATCGTCTCTGTCGCCGGCTCCGCGGTCTCTGCCTCCGTCTGTCCTCAGCTGAAGCTTCTGTAAGTACCACAAAGCTGCTCTGTGTCCTGTGTGCTGGCTTTGCCTCAGCTGTGTAAAAGTGCAGAATTGTGCATGCTGTCCCACCCACCCGGTGGAAATTTACAAAACAAGGTTAAAGTGGAGAAAACAACCCAGCGCGGCCAGAACACGGAGGCATGGAAAGATTACCGAGGGTGAGATAAGACAGGAGCTGTGAGCCTTCAGTACCGACGGAGCCTCCTCCCGCCGCTGACGCTGCGCTTTATTTAAGAAAACATGGCACAAAATGGACAAGTGTGTGTGTGTGTGTGTGTGTGTGTGTGTGTGTGTGTGTGTGTGTGTGTGTGTGTGTGTGTGTGTGAGCGTTTAATATGTTTAATACTCTTGTTTGAATGAATCCAAATACACTTAAAGTACAAGTACTCAGTCTGCATAATCGTTACTACTACATAAAAGTTACTACATGAATTACTGATTCATTCATATTTGATTATCGGTTAATTTGGTCAGATTACTCAGACTGGAAAATTGTGAGCTCCCTTTAAAAAGAAGAAAAATGTCTTTTACATTTGATCAATGAGCTGTGAGTTTAATTCGTCTGAGAAAGCTGAATAAAGCGAATCCAGCGGTGGGAGGGATGCTGGGCTGAATGGAACCTGAGAACTGTTCCAGACACAATCATTTCATTTGAATAATAATCGTTGAGTTTGTTGTTTTAATAATCTCTGAGAGCCAAAATGAGCTCAGTGGATAAACTACATCTACTCATGAACTGCTCCAGCTTCAGGTATCATAATAAGCACTGTGTCTTTGCAAGAGTCAGCAAAATAAGAAGTAACAGAAGCTTTAAAGTAGAATAACATAGAAATACTTGAGTGAAATACACTAAAATATTAGATCAGTAAAATGCTTGAGTACATGCACTTGGTTAGATTCCAGCACAGGTCGTATTCGTAAGACTGACAGTAGCGTTTCATGTTCAGTTCATATTCATATTTCAGGAGGGGTGGTGCCACCACGTGTCCCCTCTCTGGACACGGCCCTGCCTCTGAATGCATTTTGGAGCCTGATGAGTTAGTTGAAAATATTTAAAGCATGTAGTTTAATGAATCAGTGTTTGTTCTCTTTATATGATTATTTCTCCATGATGATGTTATAAATATGAAAACGGGCTATTATCAGAAGTATATAATCATATTATCATATAGTTATCATATTATTATTATTATAATAGTTATTATCTATGACATCATACTGATCAAAGAGTATAAAAACGTTAACTTTAATGAAACGTTCGTTAAGCTTCTGCGTGAGTTCGCCTGCAGTCGGCGGTTTCTGTCTCGACCTCGGTGTTCAGGTCATTTACAGCCAGTACGGTGAAAAACCTCCCGCAGACTTCACGTATCAGTGTCGATTAAATCTTCGGTCTTTTTCAGATCGACGCCAAAATGTTTCTGTTGAAAGGAGTGATCGGGAGCGTCATCAAATCTGTGACGTGAGCACACTTTTTCTATCAGTTTCTACTCGAGTCTTTATGCTGAGCTAGGCTAACCGAGCCTGTGATTTCTTCCCCACAGCGACATCGACCCGTCTCAGTTCATGCCGTCAGACCCTGTAAGTACTCTGTAAAGTCTGTCCTAATGCAGCCTCCAACATTTCTAATGAAAGCACAGGTAGATTTGCATCAATGAGAAACGGGAAAAATAGATCCCAGATCAAATTTCTGGTTGTGTGCAGCACCTGAATGTCGATGAACAAGTTTTAATATTTAATGTAGCAGAAACAGAAAGATTTTTTGTCTTGTTCCTGTTAACGACTGATGACACACAGTGGATAACGCTGAGCTTATGTGCATCGCTTGAACCTTGAACTGTGTGACTGAAGCGACGCCCTCTCAGTGGAAGATTTTATGTGCAAACAAACACACAAACTGTCCAAACACAGTTGGAGGGAGGATGTGTGTGAGTGTGTGACCTAACAGAAGCTTCTTCTGTGTGCAGCCTCCTCCCCGCAGACCTCTGCAGTTCGCTGAGGCCAATGAGAGCGAAGAGGAGAAACAGTTTCGGAGGGTTTTCAAACAGCTGGCTGGAGATGTGAGTGCACCTGTGTCCTGATGCTCTTCTCTTTAAACCAGGCTTAAAGCATTATTGGGGGCGTGGCCTCTTTCACTAAACTTTTAAAGTCACTGGGGTGTCTGCAGAAAGATCAGCGGCCCCTTAAATCAGCTTGTTCTGGTGGGTAGAAAGTGTATTTAGGCTCATCTGCATAGACTGGGTAACACCTGTGCACTCTGTGTTTGTGCTCTGGTGCCTGTTTGGAGCATTTTTAGTAGAAACGGTGAAGCAGGACATGCAGAGGGTTGGCGTGACAGAGGAGGACGGTAGAGATGGAGGCAGATGCTCTGCTGTGGTGACCCCTCATAGAAGACGTAGAAAACCTGAAGGGTGAAGTATAAATAGTCAAGGTGAGAAAATGGACAGGGGACCGGACAGACAGGATGAGGGTTGGAGTATGAAAAGCAGGCAGACAGGTGTGGTGAGGTGTGATGGCTCAGGTGAAGCACAGACACTGACTGAGAGAGAGAGAGAGAGCCTACAGCTGCCGACTGTGCACAGCTGTATGTTTAGCATCTGTGCTAGCAGCATGCTACAGTACGATGCGCTGCTTGCTGTGAACCAGGAAGAGCTCCTGTGTATTTTTACTGGCTTGTAAAGCTGTGAAGCAGCCTTGTTGACAGCGGTGTGAGAAAAAGTGTGACTTTCAGAGCTTGTTCTGTTCATAAATATCTCATAACATTGTAGAAAGGCCTTTTCTGGATATCGGACCTTTAACAGAAAAATAAAAACTGTGCGCAATGAGCTCGAACCAGCTCAACAGCTCTGGAGTTTCCACAGCAGTGAACTAACTGTCAGTTTGCACTTCTAAACTTCAACCGCCTGTTTTTGACCCGTGAAACGAGAAACTCCTGTAGCAGGGCGCGGCTGTACGCTC